CGGGTTTCGGGCTCACGAGATTAGAAGGATCGGAACTTTGGCGACTTGTAGAGAGCACAGCGGTCGGACCCCACCACGACAAAGTACGACAGAAGTATTCGGCAGAGGTCCTTCTTTCGTTCTTGGACATGCTTGATATGGCAGTGCTGAATACTTACCGTGGATATGGCGCTACGTACTTCAATAACAAAGGACAAGGCAGCCAGCTGGACAACATCATTGTCCCGAGGTGCTCGTTATTCCAGACTCACGGTCGGGCCGCTACGACGCATGGGCAGATCATTACAGGCCATAGCGGCTCACACGCCTCGAGATCATATTCCAGTTCATGTTCGAATTCCATACTCGTTTACGGACACACTTGGATTACCGACGTCAGTTTCTGATCACCCACAGCTGGGCTTTGTGCAGACAGTGCGCCTCTGGAATAGAGACGCCCTTATGGACGGACTACGCAGAGGTACTCACAGAGTGGAATTTCTTCAAAAGGTTGAACAGCGGAGTTCTGACGAAATGGATGAGTGGAAGCAGGTTCAAAGAGAGGAACAGACACCCAACAGAGATTGGTCCTATTTGCTTCAGGTCATAGGCGAGGCAGCAGCTCCATATTTCACGACCCCACCTTTGCCATCGTCGGAGTACAAACAGCGACCAGCTCACGTCGCCAACCTCATACAGGAACGGCGTCAACTTCGTGAGGCACTAGGCGCAGCTATTCATATCAATGAGATTGCCAGCATTACAGAAGAGCTTCGGGATCTCAGCAGGGACCTACGACGCCAACGTCGACGGTACCTCACACTGTGGCGTCAGGACAGCACCGACGAGCTGGTGACAGCCCACCAGCAGAACCGCAAGGCCGAGGTTGCTCGCTTGTCTCGCCTGCTGTCGGCCAGGGGCACAGGCCCCAAGAAGCGCAATTATAAACACGCTGCTGCTGCTGCTATTCCATGTTCAGATGACTTGAAGGCTCGGCATCAGTTGCCCCCCAGCCAGGGGGGATTGGAGGCCACCACCATCGACTGGTTTCAGGGGGCCGAAGATTTTTTTGACCACTCTGAGTCAGGGCTGGAGACCGAATAGTTCACGCTCCCCTTCACGGAGGACGGCCTCCAGTGGGCCACGGAGAAGCCCCAGCTCATACCCAGATACTTCCGGAAGGCCAGTAAACGAAGAGCAGCTCCCCCGTGGTCGCTCCCCCTTGAGCTCTTCTGGATGCTCCTGCACCCCTACAGTAGGATCTCCAAAAGGTTTCGAGGGCTAGGCTATGAGACTCCTACGGATGACCAGAAATGGACCAGGTACTACTTAAAGGCATTTCTACATCGAGTTTATCGTTCAGGACAAACACCAGTAGTCTGGCATTTATCCCAAGGCATTGCCATCAATTTTAAGAGGCTTGCGCACGTGTTGCGCCCGTTCGGCAAGGCCTTTATCACCGCGGGCCTCCGACCCGATCAGCGTGATCGGGGGCCTCTCTTTGCTCATGGCTGCGTGGCTGGACGACGAAGAGAGACGGTCATGATGATTCAACAGAGATTGAGTTGGCGTCTCAGACGCCTAGGCTTGCAGCACATTCGTGACCACAAGGACGCCACTAATTCCTTCGGCAGCACTGACTGGACTCACCTCTCTAGCACCGACGGGGCCATTATGAAGCCCCGGGAAATTTGCTTTGGTAAACAACGTTTTATGAGGTCAGCTGTTGCCTTCCAAGGCCCCGACGGGTTCCTCTTCGCCAAGCCTCACGCGGGGCCCCCCCAGGGGGACCCGTGGGCGGTCAAGATCTTCACCAGGGGCATAGATATAGTTTTCGAGCAGACCCAGGACGCGTTTATCGAGGGGGAGGATGAGACTTCAGACTGGCGCGTTGTCGATTTGCCGCAAGATGAGGAGGATGAGGAACCTATCGGGTTAGACCTGTCGTTTCACACGTGCGTAGACGATGCTACCAAGACGCTGATCACTGGATTGAGTGGCGCCGCGTCTCATACCGAGCTCAGCCCCGAATCGACCTCCTACAACACCCTCCTCTCCGACCAGCTCCCCACTCACAACTACTACCTCAATCATGCTAAGAATGAGACGGCGCTGGCCCTTTTTCGGGGAAGGCTCGCAGGCTGGCCGCGCGAGGTTTAAGGCCAAAGTGCTCCCGACAGCTGGTGTGCCCAGCGACCTCGCCAAGATGCTGGGGGGCCTCGCGCGTGCAGATTGTACGTTTAACAGCGAGCTTTCGGCCAGGCTCGCAACAATGCAGGTTTTCACAGCATGGGCCGATATTGGTATCAGTATGGTATTCCACGAATTGAGAAGCGAGCTGCACTTCTTTCTTGGGTTCTAGGGCCAGCAGTTTCTGGAGTAGAAGCTTTTATCTTGACGCAAGCGCACCTGGATAAACGACAAGCACGAGTATATCACTATGCACGGAGGGCGATGAGGGGAGGGGCAACATCTCGCTTTCCAGCATGCAGGTTTATCGTTTTTGGGGCAAATGGCTCCA